AGGACTTGAAAAGACACTTCTCCAAAGAGGACATGCAGAGGATCCAGAGACACATACAAAGATGTTCAATATCGTTAGCTATCAAAGAGATGCAAATTAAAACCACAATGAGATACCACTTTACACCGGTCAGAATGGCCATCATAAACAAAGCAACAAACAACAAATGTTGGAGAGGGTGTGGGGAAAAGGGGTCCTTAGTTCACTGTTGGCGGGATGCAGACTGGTACAACCACTGTGAAAAACAGTATGGAATTTTCTCAGAAAAATAAAAATGGACCTGCCTTTTGACCCAGCAATTTCATTCCTGGGGCTATATCCTAAAAACCCTAAAACACCAATCCAAAAGAACCTATGCACCCCAATGTTCACAGCAGCACAATTTACAATAGCCAAGAGATGGAAGCAACCTAGGTGCCCATCAGTAAATGAATGGATCAAAAAATTATGGTACATAATCACAGTGGAATTCTATGCAGCAGAAAGAAAGAAAGAGCTCCTACCCTTTGCAACAGCATGGATGGAACTGGAAAGCATTATGCTGAGTGAAATAGGCCAGGCATTGAAAGACAAATACCATATGATTTCACCTTTAACAGGAAGCTAAACAACAAAACAAACAAGCAAGCAAAATAAAAACCAAGACACTGAAATAGAGAACAGGGAGACAGTGACCAGAGGGGAGAGAATTTCAGAGAAAATAGGGGAAGGATTTACAGGAACTAGTATAAAGGATACATGGACAATAACTAAGGGGGGTGGGAGGGAGGAAATGGGAGGGAGGAGGGGAGCACCAGGGGGGTTGGGCTGGGATGGGAGTAAAAGACAAAACTGTACTTGAACAATAATTAAATTTTTTTAAAAAGAAAAAAAAGACAAACAATCCAATTAAAATGTGGGCAAAGGACCTGAATAGACCCTTCTCCATGGAGGGCATATAGGGCCCAGATACATATGAAAGGATGCTCAACATCACTAGCCATTAGAGAGATGCAAATTAAAGGGGTTTATCTAAGAAAAAGAAGATAAAAAAAATATGAATAGTAAAATGACAGCAAACTCACAGTTATTAACACCTAAAACAAAAACAAAACAAACTAAGCAAACAACTAGAACAGGAACAGAACCACAGAAATGAAGATCACATGGAGGGTTAGCAACAGGGGAATTGGAGGAGGAAAGTGGGGGGAAAGGTACAGAGAATAAGTAGCATAGATGGTAGGTAGAAAATAGGGGGAGAACAAGAATAGTATAGGAAATGTAAAAGCTAGAGAACTTGTGACCCATGCACATGAACTAAAGAGGGGAATGTGGGAGGGAGAGGGTGTGCAGGGTGGAGGGGAATGAAGGGGGGAATGGGACAACTGTAATAGCATAATCAATAAAATATATTTTAAGAAACAACGAGATACCATGTCACATCAGTCAGAACAGCCATCATGAACAAATCAACAAACATCAAGTGCTGGCAAGGTTGTGGAGAAAAGGAAACCCTAGTACACTGTTGGTGGGAATGCAAACTGGAGCAGCCACTGTGGAGAACAGTATGGAATTTCCACAAAACACTAAAAATGGAACTGCCTTTTACCTGGAGATTGCACTGCTGGAATTATGCCCTAAAAATTCTAAAACACCAGCTCTAAAGAACATAAGCACCCCAATGTTTATAGCAGTGCAGTTTACAATAGCCACATGCTGGAAACAGCCTAATGAATGCATCAGAAAACTATGGTACATATACACAATGGAATTCTATGCAGCAGAAAGAAAGAAGGAGCTCCTACCCTTTGCAACAGCATGGATGGAACTGGAAAGCATAATGCTAAGTGAAATAGGCCAGTCAGTGAAAGAGAAATACCATAGTGATCTCACCTATAAGTGGAGCCTAATCAAGAAAACAAAAAAGCAAGCAAAATAGAACCAGAGACATGGGAATAAAGAACAAACTGACAGTGACCAGAGAGAGGGGGAGGGGCGATAACAAGGGAAAGAAGGGGAAGGGCCAAGTCACAGAACATGTATAAAGGACCCATGGACGTAGACAATGGGAGGGGGATTGAATGAGGAAGGTGGGGAGTGGGTAAGGCAGGGGAGAGTAATGGGGAGGAAATGGAGAGAACTGTAATTGAAGAATAATTTTAAAAATGAAATGAGAAAAAAATTCACTTTTATTGGTGTCAAATTGTTTTAATAGGTATCCCTTCTTTTTCTTTTCACCTATTGTTTCCTTCTATCAATTTTATCTAGCTATCTCCTCCTCCTCCTCACCCAGCTCTCCTATTCCCACCTGCCTGTGTCTCCCCTGCACCTGCCATCTTCCTTTCTATCCTATAATCTTTGTCCTCTGTTCCTATGAGAATTAAATGAAGTACATGCATCATGTGTTCCACTCCTACCATTGGTCTAAAGCAGGAGGCAGCAAACTACAGCATTCTGGCCAAGCTCAGTCCTCTTCCTGTTTTCATAAACAAGGTTTTGTTGGAAGACAGGCTAACGTGTTTGTTTACACACTAGGGCTGCTTTCATGCCATAACGGCAGAGTAGAGTAGTTGCAACTGAGACTATATGGTCCACAGAGCAAAAAATATTTACTTCCAGGACCTTTACAAAGAAAGTTTGCTGAACCTTGATGTAAAGCAATGGGCCCCAGAATCCAGCAGCCATATTTCCTGAGTCTTTGGAGCACTTATCTTTCTGGGCCAGGCACTAGATCACAATTTTGCCACCATGGTGGCATCCTGGAAATTCTCTATCAAGTTCTCTGCTTTGTCAAATCTGACCCACAAAAAGTCATTCTTGCTCCTATTTCAGAAGGCTGTGAACATACATAAAACAATATTCCTAGTATATGAATATGGAAAGGAACTGAAACCCTATAACTTCAAATGCCAAGAGGAAGGTTTTCCTATGGAAACCATCATGAAAAGCATTAATGACCTAACCAAGATAAAGCTCTATTTTACAACTTGAGGGATCGGAATAACATATTTATTTTTAACTACCTGCTCACCTTTGCATCCACTCTCTGTGAGCAGTCACTTGTAATAAGGAAGCATAAGGCCAGTTTCAAATGCCTGCTGCAGAGGGAATTTGGGGGCTGGGTCTACCATGGTAGCTACTGGGCTGAGCACCAAACTGAAATCCTACACCAAACAACCAAGAGCTGTTGCTGGCCACAGTTTCTTTGAGTTCATTCTCTAGTTGGTGTTTTTTTCAAGATGTTCCCAGATTTCTACTTTCTGACCGAGGCTACCACCCTGTTTGTTATACCTTCTATTTCTAAAGCGTGGTCTTGTAATTCAGGGTGTTTGAGGACAATCTACTTTCTCCTCAAACTAATCTGGCAAGATGATCCTCTTAAAAAACATGAATATGGCCCTGGCTGGTGTAGCTCAGTGGATTGAGCGCGGGCCTGCGAACCAGACAATCGCGGTTCGATTCCCAGTCAGGGCACATGCCAGGGTTGCAGGCGGGTTCCCTGCAGGCCAGTTCCCAGCAGGGGACGCGCGAGAGGCAACCATGCATTGGTGTTTCTCTCCCTCTCTCCTTCCCTTCCCCTCTAAAGATAAATAAATAAAATCTTAAAAAAAAAAACATGAATATGGCACTGAGAGTCTATGTGGTACTCATGAGTGTGTTTGGGATTTTTCCTTACCCCTTAAACAGAAAATTTGTGAGCAAATACCCTGTGGGCTTGTCACAAAATGAGAGTCATCAATACAGCATCATCCTCAAGGACATAGGAAGAGTCACCTGAAATTGACATAAATGGGTCCCCTTCCTGTATTCTCATTTGAATGAAGGCATGAGATAGCTTGGGGTAAAATGTTAATTCCAATTAGATATAAGAGCTGGGACTATACAAACCTTGTTTCTGCTTGACCAGTTGCTTGCTGTTCAGCTCTACCAGCAAGATGTCCCCCTGACTCAGGGGTCTGAGTTTACACATGTCAGTACCAGACAAGCCCCACCCCTCCTCAGAGGTCTGAGTTGCCACAGATAGGCCCCTCCCCTCAGTTTCTAGGTTTTCTTATTTCCAGTAGCTTCCTTTGTTCCCTGGGCCTCCAAGGTGGGAGATATTTCCTTGCAATTGAGGTCATAATTCCTCCCTATGGGAGAGGCACACCTGAAATGATGCATTCTGACTGATCCCCTCAGCTCTTCAGAAGCAAGAAGTTGTCAGGAACATTTAATTAAAAGGAGAGCCCGAACGAAAGAAAACAAAAAAGAACCAGAGTGTTTAAATGACAAAATCCATTTGCAAGAAAAGCAATATAAAATCATCTCTCTGCATATTATTTAGATAAAGGGAAAGAAGAGAAACCACATCATATTGTTGGCTCCCACTATATGCCAGGGAAAGAGCTCATGGCTTTAGATGGAGGACATCAGAGAATTTTCTCTCACCTACCAGTACCTATTACTATATCCATTTTAGGAGAAAAATGGAGCTCAGAGATCCTGAATCTTACTGAAATTTGGGCATATAAACAAATGGAATTGGGCTGCAGACCATGTTCTGTCTTTTATAAGATGTGGCTGCCTCCTAACAATCTCTTTGTAGATTATTTGTCTCCCATTGCCCCAGTCCATTTAGGCTGTTATAACAAAATACCATAATCTGGTTGGCTTATAAATGACAGAAATTTATTTGTCATGTCTGGAGTCTGGAACACCAAGATCATAGTGCTCGCAGATTCCGTGCCTGGTGAGAGCTCATTTCCTGGCTCATAGATGGTGCCTTCTAGCTATAATCTCACTAGGTAGAAAGAGAAAGAGGCTCTCTGAGGTCTCTTTCATAAGGCCACTAATCCCAATCATGAGAGAAGAGCCCTCATGACCTAATTATCTGCCAAAGGTACCACCTCCCAATACCACCACCTTGGGGGTTAGGTTTCAACATCTGTATTTCAGTGGGAACACAAACATTCAGACCATAGCACCCATTTTTTCTAGCCTGCCCTCATTTATCATTTCCAGAGTTTTGATTAAAACATTCAAGCTTTGAGCAGTGGCAGTATCGTAGCCAATGAGGTTTATCCGAGGCGCGATTATTGCTAATTAAAACATTCAGCTTTGCTGGATTACTGGCTTCAATTATTTAAGTGACCCTTTACATAACTCTACCATGGTTCTAGCATTTAGGTCCAGGATTTCTAGCCACCAAGAATCTTTGTTTTATGTGAACAATGGAGTTTATTGCCTGATAAAATTCTGTGCAATATCAAGATGGAAACAACAAGGTGGATTGTAATTAAATCCTTATATGGTGCCCACCTCATCTTTAAAAGTCTCCCAGTTCATGATTGATGCTCAATAAAGAAAACCCCGAGTTATTGGTTGTTATAAAACATCGTTATGAATGTCAGCTAACTTGTCCTCTACAGCAGTGGTTCTCACACCTGAGCCTGCATCCAAATTCCCTGGAGAGCTTGTTCAAACTGAGTCTTCCTACCCCTTCAAAGTTTCTGAGTCAGCAGATTTGGGGTGAGACTCAAACATTTGCATTTGTAACCAGTTTCCAGATAATACCAATGCTGAAGATCAGGAGACCAGACTTTGGGACCAACCACTCTATAGAAAGGCTATAGAAAATGAACTAGCCATTCCCTTTTTTCTTTAGTAATGAAACTCTGATTTTAATTCAGGGTAGAAAATGCATCTAACTGAAAGATTATATTTCTTAGCCTCTTTTTTAACTTAGTATGGCCATGTGACTAAGTTCTAGCTTGCGAGCCATAAGGAACTCCAGGAGGGCTGCTTGAAGGATGGTGGGTCACCGAGAAGAGCCTGTGGTAGGCAGCCTGTAAGATGGCCTACTTCCTGAGATTTGGGCCCTTATGCAATTTCCTCTGCTTAAGTGTGGGCTGAACCTCTAATGGGAGAAGCCAGCTGCCAAGTCACGAAGCAGCCCTGTGGACAGGCCCGCATAAGTGAGCTTGGAGGGGGGCCTTCCAAACACTGCCAACAACCACGTGAGTGGGCTCAGAAGCAGATCCTCCTGAGTTGAGTTTTCAGATGACTGTCACCCCAGCCACAGCCTTACTTGCAGCCTGTGAGGCCCTGAGCCACAGTCACACAACTGAGCTGCTCCCAATTATGGCCCCCTGAGATAATAAATGTTTGTTATTTCTAGCCCCTACATTTTAGGGTAATTTGTTATGCAGCAATATGTAACTAACACAGAGCCCCATCTTCGTTCTGCTGCCTTGGCACGTGGTATGAGAACTGGTGCAGCAGAAGCCATCCTCAACCACTAGGATCAAATGTACATGATGAGGTTGGCAAAGTTAGAAGATGGGGTCTGGATCCTCCTGGTAATACCAGAAAGCCAGCATGGGGGTGCATACTTCTTGATGTCCTTTATATCAAAGAGAAACAGATTCTTCTCCTGTTGAAGCTAAAAAAAAATATGTATGCCTGAATTTCCTCCTTTCACCAAGTCTATCAAATAACAATATGATCATTTTTTAATGGACACTTAGGTCTTCCTATGTGCAGGATATTCTTTAAATGTTTTACAAGTATTAACCTATGAAATTGTCCTCACAACCTTATTTCTATTCCCATTTTGCTGATGAGGAATCTGGGGTACAGAGAAGTTAAGTGACTTGATAAAGATCACACAGATAGGAATGATTATAAGTCCAAGCAGTCTGGTTGCAGAATCTGTGCTTTTAATTTCAGATTAAAATTAACCCTGTTCTGCTAACATTTACCAAGCACTTTCAAAGTGATGGGCTTTATACATTTTACAGAAAAGGAAACTAAAGCTCAGAAAGGGTTAAATAACTTCCTGAAAATTACAAGGCTAAAAGTGTCAAACTGAGATTTAAAATTCAGGTTTCTTTGCTTCTACTGCTTTCTGCACTCTTACTGCTTGTGAAATGACACTTCTGTTCTGGGCCTCGGCTGTCTTCAAGCATTCCCACTGACTGGATTATTGAGCTCAGTGTTCCACAAACTTGGCTATGCATACAGATCACCTACAGTACTTTGTAAATGCAGATTCTGACTCAGAGATCCTGGGCTGGGACCCAAGAATCTGCATTTGTCACACGTGCCCAGATGGCAGTGATACTCCTGGACCAAAGACCACACTTTACTCAGTGAGGGTCCAGACAGTAGGAGATTGACACTGTCCCCAGCAAGGCTTTTTGCCAAGTGGCTATATGCCCTGTTTCCTTTTCTGTAAAAAAATAAACAAACAACAACAACATAAACCAGGGAGCTAAAGGAGATGCTTAATAAGTTCCAGTTCGAAAAGTTCTTGATTTTGTACAGAATATAATTTTCTGCCAGTTTCCATACCTTTATACTTACCTGAAAAAGTAATCTGAATTACTGCAAAGCATAAATAAATGCATCTAATTTGACCATCAGGGACTTCAGTTTGTCCAACTCCTTCAGTGTACAAGTGAGAAACAAAGAAGCATGGTGAGTGCCCACAGGTTTGGAGAGCCACGACCAGGTGCTGGGGCTTCTCAGAAATGTCTGGGCCTCCAGGGGTCTGGTTAAAATGCAGAGTCTGATTCAGGAGAGTCTGCTTTTCTAACCAGCCCTTAGGGAACTGGAGCCCTCAGTTAGGCTATCACCTAGGGGCTACCATTGAATGCTAGGGTAGCCCCCAGCTGCTGGTCCATGGTCACTTGGAGGAGCACAGACTCAGAGCACTTTTCTTACACCACCACTCTCCTCTCCAACCACATCACTGTTGCGGTCAGAAATACAGCTTGGTCTGGGAGAGAAACTGACAGCAGGCCTCAGGCCCCCATAGTCAGAAAAGACAGGAAGACCACAATGAGACCGGAAGGAATGAGCCGAGTGGCCCGAATTTAGAAGGACCACTACCACAAGAGAGATGAGGTTTGCATATGGCCTGAAGTTCAGGGGAAGTGGTTAGAGTCCCTGCGAGGGCTGAGAGCACAACAAGAGAGAGCAAAGGAGCACACACACAAGAGCAATTTCCGGCTCTGCTGTGAGGCTTTTCTGGCATTTCTCTGACTCAAGTCCCACCCCACCCGCTCCAGTGAGAGCTGGTCCAAGCCCTATAGTTGGGTACAAACCTGGTGGTAGCACCTGAGTAGCATGGGCATTCTGGGGGATGCCCCTAGGCACCCACCAGCCTGACCTAGAGCCCTGGCTCCCATGTGTCTGTGAGACTTCTGATACCAATTAATTCATCTTTGTAAATGTCCCCTGTGTGCCTAGCACTGTGCTAAAATGGTGTGGGAAATTAAAATGAAGTGTAAAACACACTCTCTATCCTAAGGGATTTGTCATCTAATTGGGGAAGCCAATGTGAAGCAAACTGAGAATTGAAGAGAGTTATAGAAAATGCTGAACTTTGAAGTTAGGACTGGATGTGCAGTGGGGAAACTCAAAAGGAGAAAATGGGTATGGAAGTCAGAAAACACTTCATGGAAGAGGGGCTACCTGAGCTGGGGCCTTAAATAGGTAGGCCTTTTACAATAGTGACTCCAATTCTTCCCTCCTCCTGCATCCTCACCCTTTGTCATGTAATTTTGTAGCCCCCTTCCCCTTCCCTTGCCTTTTTGTTCTGGACTCAACCATGTGGCTTGCTTTGGACATTGGGACATTAAGACTTCACAAGGAGGGATCTAAAAAATTCCTTACACAGTTCCACTTGCCTTTTTATACCTCAGCCGCCACCAGGAATATATGCTGGGGCTAGTCTACAGGACACTGAGAGACAAGTGGGGCAAAACCAATTCACCCCCATTGTCTCAGCCTGCCCTCAGGCACATGAGACAGTTCAGCCAAAATCAGCACCCCAGATGTGTGGACACTAAGTGCTTATTGTTGTATGCCACTGTGCTTTTGTGACTGTTTTTACGCAGCATTATTATAAAAAATACGCAACTGATATAATTGGCAAAAAGGTTGGAAAAATGGAACACTAAAGTGTTCCCTGCAGAGACTCCTTTAGAAAATTAGCTTTGTGTGATATTAATAACTATTACTTGAAACAAGCCTCCCTGGTTAAGCACATTTGGGAAACACTGAGTAAATGAAGATAAAAGGGCCTTGACTGTGAATTTATAGATTGTACTGGTATGTCTCCTTCAGGAGGGAGTATTCACAATGTAACATTTCCTGAATATTTTTTTGAAATATCTCATGGGACAAGGGTGCCCCTGGACATATTTTTAAGACATGCTGGTCTCAGCCAATCACATGCTATTCTAGCACTAACAGATAAGTCACCCTATGCCAGGATATTTGTCATTCCTGTTTAGTGCTGTATCTCTGGGGCCTAAAGTGGTATTCACCCCTCATGAGTACTCAGTAAATATATGTGAAAGAGAGGAAGGAGGGGAGAAAGGTGTGGTATTTCTTACTCTGCTCTTCTATTGGTGCTGTTACCTCTGCCAACAATAAACACCTTGGCTTTGTCTACCTGGTGAACCCTGAAAATCCTTCAAAGCTCAGTGTACAAGTCACCGTTTTCCTAAAGACTTTGACCTCCTCAAGCAAAGTTGAGTGATTCATCCACCATTATAAATACTATAAGTAGGATGGAAGAAAGGAATCAAAAGGAAAGAGGGATTAAAGGAGATGAAAGAAGGAAGGGGAGGGAGGGAGGAAGAGAAGGTGGAAGAGGGGAGAAAGAAAGAAATAGAAATTAATATGCAGGGGTTATTACATAATAGCAAATGGTTAGTGATAATAAGGTTGGAGCAGTTTCCTAGGACAGGTGGTAAAGAAACATGAATATAGAAAAACAAGTGTAGTCTTTGTAAGTCACAAGGAGCCACAGATTAATATTTTAGCAAGAAGGAAGCATCAGATAAGCTCTCTCTAGAAGTTGCTTTTTGTCAACAGGTAAAACTATGCACTACAAAGTAATCTGAATATGACTTCAGCCATTTACTCAATGCATACAATAGTAGGTACTAAAACAGGAAATAAAAATTAATTCAAGTCCCTCGACCTTTGTAAACCAATAATACAAAGACCTCTGTTGAGTGGATATGCTGCTGCATTCAACTGGGGCCTGGTGACTAGGGTTGTCTCTGACACTGAGCCATGTGTTTACACATTAAATATTGAATCAAATCTTCCCTGTGTTGATCAAGGGAAGCATGAGTCCCAAAAAGAGTAGTCTACAATCTGAGTGGAATGAA